GTAACTGCCCATCTCTGGTGAGGACATGGGCCAGACTGTCGGAGGACTGTTTAAGGCATCAGAAGCAGAAGTTAGACCACGCTTAGAAAAACTGGGTTTTGCAGCAGGAGACCATCTCAGCCTGCTAACCTGGTTTGTTCCTTTTAAGGTCCTTGTTTGGTGCAGATGGAAACATCTGTTAAAAGGCAAACATCTGTCGCACTAAGCTTCTTGGTTACCATAATGAGCTGAAGAGTCTCGTAGGAGGATCATTGGAGGAGCTGCTGTGTGGTGTTAGGAGGCCTGAGCTCATGGAGTCAGACGCTCTCCTCTGAACCTCCAACGGCAGCGATGGAAGAGCCTCTGAGAGTAACGTCACCAGTCAGTGGTAACTGTGTCGTACTGGTTTGTGCATCTGAATGTGGACAGCTTTCATACCACAAGCCTCGTTTTCAGGCCTCCTTCACATCACGTCTCTGCAGAACACATCTCAGTGGGAGTTCAGGTGAAATGATCTTTAAATATATTCGACTTATATTTTGCACAGCCCGCCGTTTCTCCACCGTGAGGACCTCCTCCAGCCTTACTCAGCATTACGGGAACATACGAGGAGACAGGCGTGCAGCAAGGGTCCTCACAAAGACACAAGTGTGAGTCTGTGTGTGTGTGCAGCTCCCAGAATTCATTGCATTGCTGAGTAGAGTGACAGGCAAAGCCATTTAATGCCTCGGCGCCAGCACAGAGGAAATGACAGAGTGGCATTTGGACGGCGGCGGGCGTGCGTGATGTTTCTGTGTGGGACGTGAGGAGGAAGACAGTCGGGCTGCGCCTGTCCATCGATCGGATTTTAGTGTAAAATTAATGAATGTCAGCGACCGGCCGTCCACTCTGACCTCATTAAGCTCCGCCCTGTGAGGCCTGATAGGAAGACAGAAAGGCTGCGAGGAAATGAAGCATCATGTGAGGCATCCTCAGCTCGCTGCTCTGAGGTGCGTTGGACTCGGCGTGGGCGAGGGGACGCGTCGTCCTCGTTTCCTCTTCTGTTTAACTGGATTCAATCCGTCAAATCTTTATTTTGACCATAAAAACATACGAGCAGGAATCCAGAGAGAAATACTCAGTTTGGATGGGAGGAAGTGGGAGGAGCTAAGTGGTCATGACTTCCTGTAGTTGGATTTACTTATAGTAAATCAACAAGTTGATTAACAGACAGTTTTTATGTTTTTATCAACATATTTTTAATGTTAAGATATAATTATTGTATCTGATCTCTGCAGATGTGAAACAAAAACACACTCGAACAACAACGTGACCAAAAACCTTTAATGTTTTTATCTAAACACAGACGGCGCTCGTTAAAGCGCTCGCACAGGAAGGAAATGAAGACAGAAACGCTGGTTTGTTTCCTCTCTTACAGAAACAACTTCCATCCAGGGGGAGGTTTCATACTCTAACTACACCTGGAGCACGACCAGCGTTTGATGGAAACGTGCTCGTTACAGGATCAAACTGTGATGTGAGGCAGTTCTGCAGATGCTGCACGTATCAGTAAAACCGTGAAGCTGTTCTGAAACTAAACTCCTGTTACTTAAACACCAGCTGCACAGCAGGAACTGAGAAAACAACGTTTCTTCTTCATTTCACATCAGTTTGCGTCAGTTGAGCTGCAGCAGCAGACACGCAGATTACCTGACCTCCTCACACTGATCTCTGCCTGTGGTTGGACGGTTAGGGATGGTGTCTTATCACATGACCACCTGTGCCTTTCACCTTCGAACATCCTCAAACATCAGTGGATTTCAGAGAGCTCGCCTGCAGGTCCAGATG